TGCTAAAGTGATCGAGGAAGAACCCGAAGAAGTACAAATTGATCAATTGAAGACAGAAAGTATTGTGAAAGAAGAAACTTCTCCAGATTTTGAAGAGGTTCCTGAAGTGCAACAAGTGCTGGGGCTCCCAGAAAAGACCAATGAAGAGGAAGATCCAAGTGACGATAGTAAGCCACGTAAAATTAAAACAAGTAAGCGTATAGTTAAAAAGAAATCAGGTCCCAAACTCGAAACAACAGAAATTACAACAACACAAATAGACCATAACCAACCGATCATTACAGTCCACACAACAGAGGAAACACTCGATGACACTACATCTACACTTGATACATTACCCAAAACACAAAGTGCTAAAGTGACCAAAGTTAAACCTGAACAAGTACAATTTGATCAATTAAGGACAGAAAATGTTGTCGTAAAAGAAGAAACTTCTCCAGATTTCGAAGAAGTCCCTGTGGTTCAACAAGTGCTGGAGCTCCCAGAAGAGGCCAAGGAACAGGAAGTTTCAAGTGATGATGGTAAGCAACGTAAAATTAAATCAAGTAAGCGCACAATTAAAGAGAAATCATGTTCCAAACTCGAAACAACAGAAATCACATCAACACCAATAGAAGATAACTAACCGGTCGTTAGAGCGTGCGCACAACTCAAACAAAACTAACCTTCAACATTTAGTTTCGCTTTAATTCCTTTGAGATTATATAGCGCATACGGCGATATTAATCGATTCTTAATTGTTCAATTAAACATTTGTATGAGCTGCGAACGTAAAAGACGAAAATTCTAATAAGTATTATTTCAAAACTACAAAATATTTATATGTGTTGTACATGATTGTATAATCATCAGTGGGATCGTGTTCAAATTCTAGCGTTATTAAAATGTTATTGACGAATTATGAAACACATAATTTCATTCGATTTACAAGTAGGCGACTGTATTTGAAGAGAAAATAAATAAATCAACAAAATAAATACTACTAAAATTTGTTTATATTTATTTATAATAATGTTTAATCGGAATTAATCGGCTTCTGACAGTGATAATAGATTATGCACGTATTTACCACCAATCATCGTCAATCGATCATCAAAAGCAAATCTTCATCACCAGCTCACTATCAGTTTCCACTGTGGGATTCGTTCCCGACCCTAATTTAGGGGTGACTGAGTTATAGTCAAACACGCTGGCCCAGCGCGGGAAGGTTACCTTCACACATTTATTTAAATTTCTCCGCCGATATGTGCGGGTTACATGGATGTTCCTTCGCCGCTAGAACATCAGGTAAATTATGAACATACGAAATTCCAATGTTCATTGTGAATTCAGAAACAATGAATATAAACAATGTTAATATTAAAAAATATCATTAACATTTTTGTAACTTAAAAATGCGGAAAACACCATTGATTTTGTAAATAATCTTACCCTAAGTAGTTTGTATCTTTATATGAACTCGATGTGTATGTGTATGTGTACTTTGTAAAAAAATGTTAAACTTCTATACTCAGTAATTAGTTTAAGTCTTATTATATTTTATTGTGTAACTGAAATGTAAAGGTACTAATTATTTTTTACCTTAATATAAGAAAAACAAATACATAACTTCATAAAAATTACTTACAGTACTTGTAATATTTGTTAAAATATTGGCATAATTTTTGTTGCTAAGGGAAAAACTACGATTTTTGCGTGAGACAAGACAGAATAACGTCATTACGTCTCTTTTAATTTTTATGTAAATCACCTAATTATGTGAATAAAAAACGGTGATTGTCCTATTGCATACAGTATTTTGCTGTTAATGCGATGGTGAATAATTTTGAAACTGGTTTGATGTTTTTTTTTTATAATTTCTTAAATTCCTGTGTCACATTTTGAAAGACTTTTATTAAGTTGCATATTTTTATGATTTACAGATGACTCGAAGTTAGAAAAAGTACCCATCGTAAAATTCGATGAAAACATAACAAAACCCATGCATTCAACGGAAACAAAAGATAAACAGCCTAAATTAAATGCAAAGAAATTAATTCCCCTTAAAGTAGAACACGTTGATGTTGAAACACCACAACACCCTGAAAAAGTTGAAAATATACAATTTACAAAAGTTAAATTGAAAAAACCTGTTCAGAAACCTAAACCAGAGCCAACATCCACTGTAACTCTGCCCAAATTCCAGCTAAAGAGCCGAATTAAAATAATTGATGACTGGCCACCAAAGGAAATAAAACCTATCTTTACCAATTTAGGAAGTATTCGTCAGAATGGAGAAATATCACGAAACGTAAAAGAAGCAGCAAAGGTTAAGAGAAAACCTGTCAAAATACCTTCAATTCCGGAAGCGGAAAAAACTGAGTTAGAGAAACCTGAAATTTTCCCAGACATTTCTAAAAAGCTAGATAAAACAAAAACAGAAGAAGACCTCGAGCCAAGTAAGCTTACAATTGAAGAAAATGAAACAGAACAAAAACCTGCAGAGCCTAAAATGAAACCAGACGTAGTTAAGACTGATACCCAAAAAACGCCAACAAAACTTTCCATTGACACGCAAGACGTAAGTGAAAAAATTACTCCTATTGAAAAAGAGGCCCCAAAGAACAAAGAAAAATCAAAAGATATAGAGGAAAAGGTTAAAAAAATAGATGAAATAGAGCCACTACCCACAACTGAAAGTGAAATAGAAATAAATGAGAACGCATTTGATAAAAAACCAGTAAAGAAACATCCTAAACTCGTTCCTCAACAAATAGAGAGTAAAACTTTTGAACCTAGTAAACCTCAATTCGCAGATAGTACTGAAGGCCCGATATTCAAAAAGCTTAAATTGAAAAAGACAGTTGCTCCTCTGAAACAGGATACGTCATCAGTTACGTTACCTAAATTTCAACTAAAAAGTCGTATTAAATATGTAAAAGATTGGCCTCCAGCCGTTACTAAGCCGTTAATAGCAACAATAGGAAGTGTACGTCAAAACGGAATACTTTCGCGTAATGTTAAAGAAGCCGCAAAACTTAAAAAAGTAGCCATTCCGACGCCTAAACTACCTGAAATTAAACATACACAATTAGAGAAAGCAATGTTCGATTCTGAAGATATAAAATTAAGTTTAAAAGCGAAACACGAAGAAGAAATAATTGAACCGATAGAAGAAACAGAACCAGAACAATTTACAATAAAACCTAAAAGGCCAAGTATTAAGAAAGTACAAGAAATAACAGACGAAGTCACTATTAAGAAAACACTAAAACCCATAAGAAAACCGTCCATTCCACAAGCGGACGACGCCGAACCAGAAACAGTAACGTTTAGACCTAAAACGACAAAAACAAAAGAGGATGTAGAACAAGAATTTAACATTCACTTAGATTCCTATGCTGAAGAAGAAATCTCGATGTCGAGTAAAGTAAAATTAAAGCCTCAACGAATTCCTACCTTTAATGAAGAAGCTAATGAAACATCAATCAAATTTTATGAAGAAACAGAAGCAGAGGGATCGATAGAAATCATAGAAACTGACGAAAATGTAAGGGATGAAACAGCAGATATTATAATACCTTTTAAGAAACAGCCGGAATATATAAAAACAAACGAAGACGAAGTAACTTCAAACATTCTTAAACCAAAGTCGCGACCAGAAATAACACAAGATGTAAATATAACTTTGGACAAAAAGCCCAAATACACGGTTCACGATCAAGAGGGCGTAAGTTTTGATGTTAAATCTCGTGCAGAAAAAGTCACTGCTGAAGATGTATCACTATCCAGACATGTGATTATTAAGCCAAAAACAAAAACTACCCACGCTGAAGGGTCTGCAGAAACTTCTATCAAAGTGACTCAAGAAGTTGAAGATAATAGCCAAATAGAAGAAATAGTTGTAAGTGATGTAGAATCAGAAGAAAATGTTAAAATGATAATTAGACCAAGGACGAAGAAACCAAACTATGAAATAAGTGAAGTAGAAGAGGTAAATGTTGAACTAAAACCGAAAAAACCGAAGAATGATTTATATGAAGAAGAAAACCTTACATTTTCTACTAAACGTACACCAAGAAAGCCTTTGGAAATACAAGGTACATATTTTTTTTTACTAATTACAATTGTCGCTAACAGCATTTTTTTCTGCCAGAACAGATAGATTTTTTTTATTATTACGTATTTTATCGGAATAGATATTTTTTCTCTCTTTTAAGTTATATATATTTATAGGTAGTTTTGGATTTTAAACCGTCTTAGTGTTATTAAAATGGGATTTTAAGATATTAGGACAAAATATTACAAATGAGATTTTAATATTTTTTTAAACAAGTAAAGTAAGCGTTACTTTCTCTGTCTTCTCTCAGTCGGTCTGCCTACTGCCGCGTTTGTCAGAATCTCGCCTTAAAGAAACTTACATTTGATAACGATGGATGACTTTTCATTAATTTAACTGAGGAGGTTCACCTTAATAATATTACATAATTTGTATATCTTTTAATTAAGCCAATTGACCTAATTGCAAACAAAAAATCCAAATCCAGTCATAATAGACTAAAGTTCTTCGTTTTAAGAAACTTTAGATAAATGGCTAACTTTATTTCTAAGATCGCTCATATCGCTAAGGTATAGGGTGGTGAAACAGTTAAGTTGGGCTGGCTGGAACGAATCCATGATTAATCATCCATGTCCACGACTGCTCCACTACCACTAACTTAACTACCCCATTAACTAATTATTGTTATTTATATTTTAGAAGCGGATGCATCGATGAGTATAGCTAGGGAGCAGGAATTCCCTGGTAAGTCTTATTTAAGCAATATAAATCAATAAAAACCGCCTATTAATTTCTGTGCCAAGTAGAAAACAAGTATATAATTACATTTTGTTTCCGTAAATATGTCTTTAACTATAAAAGGAGGCAATATACTTAAAAAAATGTGTTATTAATTAACAACAGAATTGAAACAAGGTACCTAAAATCTTAATTCAGACGTAAATATTACGTCCCAAACTCTGCACTACTCACTCACTACTTAAAAATCAAACTCAAATATAAACGTGTGACATGGTGAAATTTTTATCAAGAGTAGCATGGGACAATCGTCCCCCTTACATTCTGAGGTGACACATCCGCGGCCCCGTATGCGCCAACAGCCGTGGAAGCTTATTCCTTAGGGGAAACACTCGTATACCTCCGCAAAACCTACTCCATAAAGGCACGCCGGAATGCACTGTGCATTTTTGTTCCTTTTTGCAAGATTTTATTTTCTAATTCTAATGAACATTTAATGGTAGACATTGCTTAGTTTAGGATAGGACTAATTTTTATTAATTTGTCTCAACGCAGGCGAATTTTATTTACTAAATTATACGGAAATTAATAAATAGGGCCAGTGAATATGGAGTTATAATGTTTGCGAATTTTCTCATGATCAGTACCTTACTTATTTCAGAAACTCCAGTCAACGTGCGCAGAGGTGATACAGTTTTCGCCGTTTACTCGTATGTTGCAGAAACAAACGATGCTATAAATCTCGTCGAGGGTGAACGATTATATATTTTAGGTAAACAAATCATATATCATTTTATTTCATCATATATGTATTTTAATGTTGTTTTAGTAACCAAATTATATGTTGCCTTATGGCTTGGCATTATAAGAGATCCTTAACATACTTGGAATTTAAACAATATAATTTTAATCATTCTATATGGGGTATGAAATCGAATACAATACTTAATTAATGGGCAACTGAATAATTAGCTGTTATGTTTTACCTGCACTACTATTTCTCTATTACTATATTAATTAATTAATTAAAAAGAAAATTACGTTAATCATATATTCATGAATTTAAGTAAGTTTATTTTCATTAGAAACTACAAATCAAGACTGGTGGTTCGTTCGAAAACATCTAACTGAAGAAACAGGTTGGGTACCGGCACAATACCTAATGGATGAAGCAAATTACACTTCATATCTGCAAAAGAAGCTTAATGAAAAAATCGATAAGCTTCCAGTATTTGAAAGTAAGTGGTCATTTGAACGAATACGTTTACATAAACAGATGTTTGACTGTTACTAATACCTTTCTTTTTTCTAGAACCAACATCTGAGGAACAGGCTATAGCGCCAATATTTGTGGAAAAGTTACGTCCTAAGCATACTCCAGATGGATCTACCGTGCAATTTGAATGCCAAGTGGAAGGATATCCAAGACCGCAAATCACTTGGTTCAGACAGACAGCTATAATAAAACCATCTCAGGATTTCCAAATGTATTACGATGATGATAATGTTGCTACTTTAATTATTCGAGAAGTATTCCCAGAAGATGCTGGTACATTTACTTGTGTAGCCAAAAACGCAGCTGGTTTTGCATCAAGTACGACTGAATTAACCGTTGAAGCACCGTTGTCGGATCATGGTTCCGAAATGACTATATTATCAAGAAAAAGTCTTTCTAGGGAGTCCTCTTTGGCTGATATATTAGAAGGCATTCCACCTACATTTTCAAAGAGACCAAAGGCGCAGTATGTCGATGAAGGCTCTAATGTTTTGTTAGAATGTAGACTTGTAGCTATTCCGGAGCCAGATATAGTTTGGCTATTTAAGGGTGAAGAAGTATTGCCTAGCGAAAATATTTCTATAGTAACAGAATCAGACATGCACATGTATTGTAGCGTTTTAAAAATAACAAATGTGAAGAAACATCAAGAGGGTACATATACAGTGGTTGCAGTAAATAGAGAGGGTGAAGCCAATTTACCTATTGTACTGAAAATTAAGACGGGTCAAAAGGAAAAGCCTCAAATTATTGAACCTCTTAAAAACATGTCTATAAGAGAAGGAGAAAGTTTTGTTCTCTCTGTTCAAGTAGTTGGAAACCCGAAACCGAAAGTAGCATGGTATAAAAATAACGAACCGATAAAATCAGACGTCTGCAAATCTGATGGCGACATACACACTGTTACGATAATAAAACCAAGAAAAGGAATAAACGATGGGATTTACACCCTTAAGGCTAAAAATACTGAGGGATCCACACAAACTAATGCCGTTATAAGTATAGAAGGTAAATTTCACAGCCAAACATTTTTAATTTACCTAATTAATAAGATAGAGCATAAGAAGACCTTCCTGCTTTTTTTCGTCGTAATTACTATAAAAAAATATTTTTTAAACAATTTGCTAAACATAACTTTTTATATTTGTGTTTTAGAACCTACTGAAGAAGATGCGGAGCCGCCATTATTCATTCACAGATTCCAGGAAATAACTGTTAACGAAAAAGGTACTATTAAACTGTTTGCCAAAGTAACGGGTAACCCTGTTCCCACTATAACGTGGTATAGAAATAATAAAGTAATAACTCCCTCCGATACCATTACCCAAGCTTTTGATGGTGAAAATATCGAGCTAGTTATACGTAATGTAGATTCTGAAATTGATTCTGGAGACTACAAATGTGTAGCGTCTAATAGTGCTGGTAAGGCATCTCATGGCGCTCGTGTGACCATTGATGTAGATAAAGTTGTATTTGTTAAAAATCTCCATAAATCTTATGAGGTCGAAGAAGGAAAACTAGTTATTTTAGAATGCGAAACATCTCACACGGTTTCTACAAAATGGTACCACAATAACAAAGAGTTAAGTGGAATGGATCACAGGGAAATAATACAAGAATCCCGAATTCATAAATTGAAAATTAAGAAAACTAAACTTACTGATACTGGAAAGATAAAATGTATCGTGAAAGATCAAGAAACCAGCACAGACTTAATAGTCCATGAGACCACTCCAGAATTTATAAGAAAATTACAAGATTTCGAAGTTAAAGAAAAAGATGTTGCAATCCTGGAAGTAGAAATTAATTCAGAAACCGCAGATGTATTGTGGGAAAAAGAAGGTAAAATTATTAAGCCTAAGAAAAACAAATACGATTTTGAAAAACGAGGGAATGTTCGAAAATTATTTATCAGGAATACTTCAGTACATGACGAAGGGGAATACACTTGTATATTACGTGATGATGCATGTACTGCAGAAGTGACAGTTGTCGAATTGCCTCCCGAAATCATATCACGTCTTACAGATCAAAGAGTAAAGAAAGGTAACAAAGCAACATTTGAAATTGAACTGACAAAAGGTGATGCTTTAGTACAATGGTATAAAGACGACATGGAAATACAATTTTCAAATCACATTCAACTTACTATTGATGGTAAAAAACAAAAGTTAAAGATTTATGACTGTGATGATAGTGACGCGGGTGAATACGCATGCGTTGTAGGTAATGATAAATGCACAGCCACACTTACTGTTGATACACCAACAATAGATTTTACCTTGCGTCTGCCTGAATTTATCATAGTCCCGGCATATTCAGATGCATATTTAACTGTCGAAATACCAGATGAACAATATGACGTTACTTGGCTAAAGAGAAAAAATAAAATTGAAGACTCAGAAAAGTTTACTTTAATATCTGATGGTAAAAAACGCACTCTAATTATTAGAAAATGTCTGGAAGAAGACCAAGGTGAATATTCTTGTGTATTGTTAGACGCGATGTGTTCGACGAAGTTAAAAGTTGAAGGTGAGTAAAAATTTAAACCAGAAAAAGTTTAAAACATTGTACATTTATTTAGATATTTATTAATTTAAGTGTATTTTTACAGTTACAGAATTCTCTCCTAAAATCTTAGACTACGTAAAGGAATACAAAATAAAGAAAGGAAGTGACGTAACAATAATTGTCAGTTACGAGGCTGTTCCTAAACCTAATGATGAATGGATAGTTAATTCTAAGATAATAAAAAGATCCAAGCATACAAAACCATTCATAGACTCTAAAAGTGCTAGCCTCACTATTAAAAAAGTCGATAATACGGATGCTGGCATTTATAAACTTCGTCTAGAAAACAACTGCGGAAAAGCAGATGTTGATATCAATGTCATCATTACAGGTAACGTGAAATTTCACATACTACTATACATAAGATAATGCTTTAAATAAATCTATTTCTTCCGGAGATATTAACATTTCAAACGTGTTTGCAGATATTCCATCTCCACCTGGAAAACCTAACGTATTGGAGGTTGATGACACATCTATAAACATATTTTGGGATGAACCAAAGAGTAATGGATTTTCGGAGGTTACTTGTTACATTGTTGAATATCAAGAAAAGAATACTTCCGAGTAAGTCTCTCAAATTAACAATGTACATTTTTTTACTTTATAATTTTAATATTATAACTGTGAACAACCTCTAATTAATTTATCCTGCAAATTTACTATGTAACTTTATTAACTTTTATTATTATTATTACTTTAATTTTCAATTTTTAGATGGATATCAATCGAAAATATCACGAAAACTCAAGTCTACATTAAAAATTTAAAGGTTGATACTTATTATCGATTCAGAGTATTTGCGGTCAATGAAGTTGGTGTAAGTGAATCTTCAGAATGCTCTGAATTTATACTCATAAAGAAAAAGGTAACAAAACAACCACCCTCTGTAGAAAAACCACTAAAAGATGTAATAGGAACTCCAAACGAAGATGTAGAGCTGACTTGTATATTTGGAGGTATGCCGCAACCAAAAGTTACATGGTTTAAAGATGGAAAGAAAATTATTACTTCGAAATCTACATATGTCAATAGAGTAGCAACACTTATTATTTCGGTGGAGGAACAATCTCAAGGGGAATACAAATGTGTTGCTGTAAATGATTACGGTGAAGTAGAAACATCGTGTAACATAGAAGTACAACAGAAACCAATCATACATATAACGGAAATCGAGACGACACAAAAGTTAAGAGTCAATGATAAATGGTCTGTTACTGCCACTATTGAAGGTATACCCAAACCGCAAATTGTTTGGTATAGAAATGGGTCTAAGATCGATGATTCAAGCGATATCCGTAAAACAATTAAGGATGACGTTAGCGTGATAAACATTCCTAAAGTTGAAAGGGTCCACAGCGCCAAATATACAATTGAAGCTTATAATATCGCTGGTTCCACTTCTTACGATGTCAACTTAAGTGTATATGGTAAGTTTTTTTAATTTAATTATCTTGTGAAAGTTACTTCTTGTTAAACAAACTTTTCATATTAATTTTACGAAAGAATAAGCCTTTTATAGGACAGGAAATTCAGAATAAGTGTAATATTTATTTCAACAGATGTACCAAGTAAACCGGAAGGTCCTGTTGTTATGAAGGAAATAAGCAAAGAATCTGTCACAATTCAATGGAAACCTCCTTTGGACGACGGCGGATTAGATCTAACAAAATACGCAGTTGAAAAATATGACCCGGAAATAAAGCAATGGCTTAAGGTGGCTGATGTTGATAAAGAAGTGACGACGTATTGCTTCCAAGGATTGAATGAAAATAATAGTTATAAATTTAGAATAACGGCCATAAATCCTATTGGGGTTTCTGAAGCATTAGAAAGTGAGGCAATAGTAATTAAGACAGCTTTGGGTAAGTGAAATCTGATGAACTTCGAGTTCTACGATGACTTTTGCACTTTTTTATTAAATTGATATTTACAGTAGTTATTAATTTAATATATTTAATTCATTACAGACGTACCATCACCGCCGTTGGGCCCGTTAGGTATTTACGGCATAACTACTGATTCTGTAACAATAACTTGGTCACCACCGGAAAGAAATGGTGGTTCAGCTATACTGGACTACACTGTGGAAGTAAAAGACGGCAAGAAATGGAAACACGTCGCCACAGTGACAAACACCACGGCCAGAATAGAAAAACTGCGTGCAAATATGACATACAAATTGAGAATATACGCCAGAAACGAAATTGGTGTGAGCTTACCATATATTCCCGAACAAGAAATTATTATTGGGAAAACTTTATGTAATTATCCTTTATTATTTTAACAAAATGTTTTACACACTATTACCAATAATATCTTATTTAATGTTGTTTTTTCTCATCTCTATTAATGGCACTTTGAATTTTAAACTTAATTTACTCTTTTAGCTCCACCTTCTCAACCTCTAAACGTTGTGGTAAGAGAAATTACCTCGAGGTCTGTTACGCTTTCGTGGATGGCACCAGAAAGTGATGGCGGCAGCATTATAACAAGTAAGATTTTAATATTTACTAACTAAAATCGTTATGTAATACTTCAAAACGTTAATGGAAACAATTATGTAATGATAACTAGCGATATTAATTTAAACACTGAACTAGAGGTCCCGCCAAGAAAGCGCGCAAAAAATCAATTCTTCTAATGACATTGACAGCTGTCAGTTCGAGTGTGACAATAGTCTAGTGATTCGCCCACTACAGCGTGGTACGAATTTTTTTCTTAACGGTACTTATATAAATAAAAAAAATCAATTTCAGATTACATAATAGAGTATACGACAGTAAACAGAAAATCATGGACGAAAATAATCACAGTAAATGGTTCAACGTATGAGCATTGTATTGAGAACATTCGAGAAAAGGAAGATCTCATATTCAGAATATCTGCCGAAAATGTAATTGGCATTAGTTTACCGACAGAATCTGAATTAGTACATTTGGAGAAACATGCAAGTAAGTAATTTGTTCACAATAATTCATACGTCAATTCCTATTCATATATTTGCTTTTTACCGAGCTCGTTATAAAGTTATAATACTTAATTGTAAAAGACATAGTTATTCGTAACTCAGATACATGACAAAATCCATAAATGTAGTTGAAAATTGAATTTTATGTTATGAAAGTTTTATCATGATATATGAATGTAAAAAAGAACGAAAAGTGTATCGCAAATGTAAGTTGCTGAATATCTCGTTGACGTACGTAACTAAAGTCAGTTATTAATTTGTCAATTTCTATTTCAGCTGTACCTTCTCCACCAATTGGGCCATTAGAAATTCGAACAGTAGGCAACAACATTGTAATGACGTCTTGGGGAACGCCGGAATGGGACGGAGGTGCACCTCTTCTGGGCTACAACATAGCCATCCGTGATGTGACGAAGACGATGTGGATGGAAGTTGGAAAAGTAGACAGTCAAACACTGAAATTCAATATCAAGGATTTGAGTGAGAACCATACCTACATGATAAGAATATACGCTCGCAACGAAATTGGTATCAGCGAACCGCTTGAATCCGATGAACCATTTAAAGTAATTCCTGGAGAAGGTAAATATTTATTAACTCTATAAAACTAGCTGTTCCATTGCGGCTTCATCTTAAAGTATTTAGTTATAACTAAATACTTTAAATTATTGTTTACATTTGTCAAATTATCAATTGCAAATGTCAAAAATCAAATGCACAAATGACAACAAAGGCTAATGACATTGGACAGCAATTACCGTTACCTTCGCAATTTTGCTTTTTTAATGTTGGTAGCTTGTAGTTCATGATACCTTTCCCACATGAAGGTTTTTTCCAATTTATTTACCCCATAAGTTTGATAGCGTGAAAATAGATAGCCTTAAGCGTGTCGTCAGTGAAGGGTTTTTTATTAAAGAAATAATTATTCAAAAATATGCTGTGATTTTTTTCCCATTGAGTCGATTGATTGTATAGATTCCGTTGATAATAACATTACATACTATTTATTTAAGCAAATGCGTAAAAACATGTACGTTTAATGGGGTACATTTTCAGGATCTAGGTATAAGAAAAATTAGGTTCGACCGAGATTATCATTCGTTATCAGTTTTTGCGGACTCCCATTTTCTTCAATCAGTTACTAAACCATGTAATAACGTGATTATAATTTGTACAGATTCGTATGCGGATGAGGAACCTTATGAACAAACAGAGATGACGGAGCCGACGTCTTTCAGTACGCAAACGACGACTTCGTGGCTCCGCGAACACAATATGGACGCAGATATACGATCGTACGCCCGTGGCTCCCTCTTGCGACGTGACGAGTACTTCTTCAGAATATGGTACTACGCCAAACAACTGTTCAAGTGAACTTATAAACGCACGTTCGAACATTGACCTGTGATATTTCAGAACAAAATTTATTGTTCATATAGTCCGCGTATAGTAACCGTTAGACTAAATTTTGAAGAGCGTCCATCTTGTATTCTATCTCGCTTAAAGTTTGTTACCATTTTTATATGAATGTAATTTAAAAGGAAATATTTATTATAGATGATAAGCTAAATTATTTATTTATTAAAAAATATGTTTAATAATGTATTTTTGTAAAATTTGATGTTAACATTTAAGCCTTATCTTTATTTTCTTTCTTTGGGAGACGTTTAAAATATAGGTGCATTATTTTTTAAATAATCGATAAGACTTAAATAATATACATCGAATTTTATTTAAAAAAAATTGAAAAATTAAATAAATAATAGCAACCCAAATAACACGTTTTTTACTACAAAATTCAATACAGGATGTATACCACCCTTCCTACCCTTCTTGTTACAAGCGGATATTTTTTCATGGATACAACAAGCAAGTTATACATAATTTATTGGACAACTTAAAATTTGCTTGTTGAATAGTTAGTTTGGCTTTTGTCAACAGGACTCAACTTTTTACCTATAGGTAGCATGTTTTCGTTAACACGGATTTTTTTGCCTCTGGTACAACTGAAAAATGTTCCTAGTGTCTGCTCTATAGTAGATTTATGTGTTACTCTTTGGCCTTCTGTCAGGTAAACATAGATTATATGGGGCTTAAATAAAGAACACAGCTAAGTACTCATTTATTTAATATCAAATATTTCACTTATTAATATTATAAAATGAAAAGGCATCTAATTACGAGTTTTAAAGTTCAAGATTCGCACATTAAAATGTCAAAGAGTAAAACTGTATTGTTATTACATCGTTACTAATAAATGCTTAAAATACAATCCAATAACTTTAAAACCAACTCTTTATGATACTAACAGATATTGGCACTATTACATAAATTAGAATCAACGAACAATCATGACAATTTTATAATAAAAACGTTGTTATAATCTAAATAGTAGGCACAGCTACAAACACTTTACTGGCGATTTCTGCGACCTGTAAAAAAAATAGAAAATATATAATTTCATCGAACAATACGTGAGTTAAGCAGTTTTTCTTTTATTTTTTTCTAAACGTCTTACCCTTATCTTTGGTGGACTTGACTTGTTTGTTTTTGTTGCATTTTTTAGTAATGCGTCGGCTTTGATCGCAAGTCGGGTCGCTGTTTGCTTTCAACATATCAGTTCTGGACATCTCCCCATTGGGGCTACACTCGCTCCATGATGATTTCTCGTAACGGCATGCTAGTAACAAAACAATACCTATATTTTTCACTACATCTACAAGTGAACAATATATTTATTTGTTTCTTTTTATGGAATGCAATCAGATAAAAATATTACACGTCTTCAGTTATTGTTTTTAACATATTACATACATACAATAACTGTGCTGAATAGTATTCATTACAGTAATTCCTTTATTCAACAAAACAAGTGTAATGTTACCTTTTTTACATTTTTTCTGAATCGTCTTTGTACGCTCGCAGTTCGAAACATCCCCTTTTTTCAAAGTAAGCGTTCGCGAACGTATGTTCGTCTTGGAATCGCATTCGGACCAAGCGCCTCGCACGTAGCGGCACGTCTCTGAACAAATATGACATACCTTACATATTTGAATACAAAATATTGGTAATTTTAATTTAATGTCAATTGAAATCGACATTTTTAACGTAAAGTTACGTGAGGATGGGATAAAATAATAAGATCTAGTTACAATAATTAATCAACAATCTTTCGTAGTTAGGCTTTAGCAAAATTTTCTTTTTTAACGACATATTACCGACACCTACCTCTACTTTTAGCGCCTCTTTCGTTACGGACGAGCAGTTCGTGATCGTCCTTCTCAAAAACCTCCCCTTCAGCTGCGGCTATAGCAACCAGCAGTAGAATCAAACCAGCGACCATCCAACCGCGATGTTTATTCTGCAAAAAAGTCATATCATTTACCACATTGTATTCAAACTGCAGACGACTTTTTTAAATATTTAGTTACAATTATAATATCAAAAAAAAATGTAAACCTCTTTTTTAAAAGTTCATAAATTCCAATAAACATCGGAGGCGCAAAGCTAGCAATAATTACGCCGTGTTAACGTAACATCTATATAACAATAACAATTCCTCACATTTTCTTTAAGAAAAAAAAACATTTTTTTATTATCCTCCACCACCTACATGCATAAAACACGAATTACTGAGTTACAATTTAATTTAAAACAACAAAATCATTTAGAAAATCACGCAAGCAAATGGATGTATTTAATTTAATAATTAATTGCTATGAAATGTATTTCAAACTACTCGTCTTCATTCACGACTTGTTTAATGGTTACTTAAGATTTCCCTTAGTGAAGATTAAAAAAAGAAATCTTCATTAAGGAATTGCTAAAGTAACGCCAATTGACGTAATAGAGTAGTTAGAAAGTTAAGTTTTTATATTCGCTGCGCAATTAAATTTATATTTTGAAATTTCGCAATAGCTCTGATATTTAATGGAGAGCAGAAATTATTTTTCATAAATGAAATGTTTGATTGAACTTTTTCTCATTTAAAAGTTTTCATCGAACGCTTTAAGTTTAAGGAAATATTTTATTTCAATTAGAATAAAATTATTTTAGATTTAAAATCATTCCGAATAAAAATGTTACTTGTTTTAATATTATTTTCCTCGTGTGTTATCAAGAAGATGAATTGTGGTTTAGGAGAGCAATTTGTAAATTCATATCAATTATGTTTATTAATAACGACGAACAAATGATAGTGCCCAGTCAACGACTTTATTGTTTCACAGTTACGGACTCAATACGAAAATAAACTCAATGAGTCGCTTGCCACTTCTATCTGATAACGAGTGTGATGATAACAATTTATTGTTTTTCTGTCTGTACAGGAAACATCCAGGGCCGGTATCCGGGTCTATCTTCTTAATATTTTCCTAATATCTCATAAGCAATTTTTGGGATACTATAACTGAATATAAATAAACAAATTTTGCCGCTAAAACTGATGTCAAGTGGCGACATCTCGTAGCTGAATTGCATCCCTGACCTAAAATTCGAACAAAGACCCCCGGAACTTAAAGAAACAAAGGCGACAAAGTACATACGTAATGTAACACTAGTTTCCATCTTTATTTTACGCCGTGGGACAAGTATTGATTTACACGGAGGCAAAACAAAAAAGTCCGAAGAGGCTGCATTCCACAAAAAGACCCATAAAAATACCTACATATGGTATCTACGAGTTTAACATGCTGCGTGTTAGAGCGGGACGGATTAAATTGCATAGGTTACGGAATCCGGCACAATATTTCTATCGGACTCAGATGACAGCGGAACACACACAATATAATAAAAATAAAATTCTTAATAATTTTTAGCCCTGTATTGTTCCCGATTTTTATCAAAACTGTTTCCAGATTCAGTGCAACAAATTATTAATATTCACGCGTAAAACGAAAGCCATTTTTTTTAATGCAATATGTAATTATAAACACATTGTGTTTTAACACAATTATAAATAATCCAATATTCGTTTATCGTTATTAATAAAGTGGTTAATTTTAAAAACAAATGAACGTTTTTAAATTACAGATATTTTAAAAAATCCATGTGATGTAATATATCGCTAAAAAGTCGCTTTAATTCTAAATTGTTTTGAATACAACCTGTAAAGAAGATTAATAAGAATTTCATAAAGTTAAAATATGCTTACCTCCATTTTCGCAGTTGTATTTCGTGTGGTAGGGTGAAGTGCGTGCTGTCCGGACGAGGTACGGTACGCGAGTGCGCGACGTAGAGACTCCGAGACTCGGAGAGAGGACGCTTAGCTATTGATCTGTCCCTTACTACACCCGGGACTGGTACAGTACCACTGTACACTACATACTCCTGCTCCTGTACCTCGCCCGATACTCCCGCTTCCCCCCGGACACACCCGTAACATCTCTCTATCTACGGCCCAACAAGATTTATTACCTTTTCCGGGAATGATCGGATTTCCTTCGCGGGACGACTTTGGTTTTTTTTTCTGGCGAGACGCCAATTAACTAACAGATTTAATGCGTAGCTCGATTCGTTTTGTTTTGATGCGACGTGTTCATTGGTTCTCGTTTTTAAGTACCATTTAAACTTTAAATACCTTTTAAAGGTAAACGAGAAATAGTGTTGAAATTTTTTTATTTTGTTTAACCGAAGAAGTTTCTAGAAATATTTTTATTTACGCTTGATATTTAGCGAAAACTAAGATAAATAAGATTTTATCAAACTTTTTTCTATCAGACCATGCTCTAATATTAATCAAATCAACCCATTATGGAACATCTGTAACTTCAGTACAATCATAGATAACAGAAGAAATAATTTCATCCGGGTGGTATTAAACAACATACAAACTATGTAAATAACAAAAAGCTACGTATCCCTCGGGAACTGGACATTTCTCGTGAATAAACCTTATCCCGTATGTACTCCAGACTTTGTTTTATATCTGTGCCAAATTTCAATAAGATATGTTGAAGCGCTGCAGAGTGATCGATTAAACATTAAAAAACTAAATTAGTGAATCCCACGGGAACTATCGCTATTCTCGGGATAAAAGTAGCCTATGTGTTCTTCCAGACTATTCTCTAGACCTGCGCCAAATTTCATGGAGATCCGTTCAGCCGTTTAGGCTACAAACGCTAACAAACATCCATTCATCCATCGTAACTTTCGCATTTATGTATAACATTCACATATGATTACGAGTATTGCGTCTTAAAAAAATGATAAAACGCGATATTTTACATCGCCGGTTTTTGTCATAGATTAAAATTGTTGAGTTTAAAAATGTAGGTTGACATAAATGAACAATTTAAAGTGAACACCTGGTGTTGAAATCTATTTTAGATCTTTCAAAAGTATTCGGTGCGCATAGAACTCTGAACACTTTTGCATCTAGACATTTCTTTCTTTTTACATCGTCTGCCCTCTGCGAGTTGCAAATAAAAAGACTGTAATTTCATTTGGATGTCTGGAAAATACTTTAAAAATGTTTCTGAATAAAACCGAATTTTTAATATAACATTTAAAAGTAAGTTTCTTATATTTGAATGCTGCAACAAAATTGCTAACGTTTCTATTTGACGTTTTATTTGTTACTAGCTTCCGTCTGCGAATCTGTCCACGTGGAATTAAAAAAATGTAGGTAGCCTATATGTTCATTAAGACTATCCTCTACATCTATGCCAAATTTCACCGAAATCCGTTCAGTCGTTAAAGCTACAAACTCTAACATCCATCCATCTAAACTTTCGCATTTATAATATTAGTTAGATATGAATGATTTATTTTTATCTCTGGTATAAGATTTTTTCATTATCGGTAGAATGTTTTTCTTAAGGAAACCTTGCTTACTTGATACATTGTACCATCTATGAGATATCACGGCGATCGATTTCAAACGGGAAAAATTCATTTACGAAACATAACTGTAACACCGCAATGCATAAATGAATTTAATTTCGCATGAATTTCGCAATTCCGGGATGTTTGAATTTGTAACGTTTATTTCTGTGCATTTTAATTAACGTTACGGTTCATAGTTGCGTATATTGCAGATTGGGAGGAAGGTGTTGCGCGGAAATGATTCTTTTAATCGTATTAAATCGAACTTATTTGTTAAACATTAAATATTTACAATTGTGATTTAAGTCAGATAATTCGTTAATCACCAGCTCACTTGTTTTTTATAATATAAGTTGGCAAACGAGCAAAGGGCCACCTTAATCCGCCAAAATTGCGAAGCAACCGCTGCCCATAGACATCCGCAATTGCAGATGCGTAGCGTACCCTTATCCGACGGAGACGGAGACGCACATAAAGAGGATATTTCCCCTTTCTATGCATCTCCTCCACCGTCAAATCCACTTCCTCTTCCCATCCTCTTCTTATAAGAAAAGGGTGGTAAAGAGAAGGTACTAAAATTAGGCCTCCTTTGTCCTCACTAAGGGGGCTCGGAGCCTACCTTAAGTAAGGGGTGACTAGGCCATAGTCAAACGCTGGCCCAATGCAGATTGGTCGACTTCACACATATTTTTGAATTTCTTCGCCGATATGCAGGCATCGCGATGTTGTCCTTCACCGTAAGAATGTCGGGTAAATTACATACTTATGACATTCGAGAATCGAAAATCACATTCACAGGTACATGACGGGATTCGAACTCAAGTCAAGCGCTTAAACCCCCGAGCCACCGACGTTCATTCACAATATTGTAAATAATTAATTTCTGAATTATATTTTAACAATATACACAAAACTATGAATAAATTCTTCGTTTGGTTAAATAATAATTATGAATTTCGAGTATACAAGATAGAGTAATTGGATAATTTTGTATATCAGAGTTTTTAATTCGCTTGATTTATTGTTAAAATGCTCTCTGGTTTTAATTTGCATGTTTAATACGGATGAAGATTTCTGATTAAATAAAAGTTAGTCTCGTATTAAAATAAAATTTTCAATAATTTTTTTTTAGTCAGAGAAAAAGTACAAATTCTGAAAATAATTTACTAGTTTTAATTATAAAATCTTATTAAAATTCGAAACCATAATCTTTTATTTTGCAGTTTTTACTTTAAGCAGTTAAGATACTTCAAGCTTAATTATCTCATCGCTAGATTAAATAATTTTGTTTCATACTTAGGTAAGGTTTTAATAATCCTCTTAAATGAAATTGTTTCAGTTAATTAATTTATCTTTATCCGAACATCGTATCGTAGTGGAATTCTCGATAAGCCGTCGGATTAATTAAGCTAGTTAATTAAAATTTAACGATTTAAAATAAATTGTTTTCATTCCATAAGTATTCTTTTCTATAAATTCTATTTTAAATTTAATTTCAACAAAGCAGCATCAGACAGATAAAATACCGCCTAAGCGAGCGTTCGCACGGACGCGAAAACGCTAGGCGGTAACTATGTGTCAAAATAGAACGTATGGGATTGTATGAAGCTGTTCATAC